ATAAAGACTAGTTTTTGTTTTAAAAACTTAAGAGGGTTTTGGTTTTGTTTTACTTTGGTTTGGGGTGTGTTGCTTTTTTCACTTTTCAAAACTATAATTCACATGATTGAATTCTCTCCTTGATTTCAGTTAAACCCTTGAAAGTGCTGAGCTGTTACGTGGTTGTTTTGGTTAAAATTGCTACCTTACACTTCCAACAGTCACTGATTTTTCTCCCATACAGCAGATTAAAAGTGTTTTACAATTCTTTGTGGTGAAAATAGCAATATAAAGAAATTTCTTAATTCCCTTGTTTCTGTTCAGTGAAAGAAACCCATTTTAATTACAGTGTGATTCATTCCAATACCCCGTGTGTGAAATGAAAAGGAAGATCAATGCCTCACAGTCAGATTTTATTGCTTGAATATTATACCGACAACACTCTAAAGAAGCACACTTTTGAAAGATTTTTTTAAGATTCGTACTAAAAGCAACAGCAGGAAAAGCAAAACAAAAAACCCCCCTACTTACAAGAGAACAAAGGGGTTTAAGTTAATCCTGTTTTCTATATTGGTTGTTCTATAGACAGGCTCTGTCACATGTGACAGTGATTGGAGATGACAAACACCTTAACGCTGAACTTCCTCCTTCTTCCCACAGCCTTTATTGCTGAGCACAACACCATATGGTCTGGGGTATCCACCTGGTCAGTTGGGGTCAGGTCTCTTGGCTCTGTCCTCTTGGCTCTGTCCTCTCCCACATTGCCGAGCACCCCCAGCCTCCTCGCTGGCTGGGTGGTGTGAGATGCAGAGAAGGCCTGGGCACTGTGCAAGCACCGCTCAGCAACAGCTAAAACATCCCTGTGGTATCCACACCGTTTTGGCCACACAGCCAAAGCATAGCACCATGCGAGCTACTGAGAAGAAAATTAACTCAGCCAAACCAGTGCACTCTGTTAGCACTGTTCCATCTTGAATAAAAAGGATCAGGTGAAGTGTTGTGTCTCTTTTCCGTATGTGTATCTTAACTTTATAACCTCCAAGACTGGTTAATCTAATGTGTTAATTTGCTCTTAGGGCATATGCGAAGGAGGTTTACAGTGGCTCAATTGCTAGATGAGGGCAGGTAAAATTCATACTTAGTCATGATCATACCAGGAGGATCAGGTGAATTTGCTAGTTATTTGAAATTAAACTTCTGTGAAGATTATATTTTACTTTTATTTCGTGCTCCAGTCATCCTCTTTACCAATGCATTTGCCTGGTGAAATGTTTACAGAAAAATGCAATTATGTACATGTTTTTCTACCATCAACAATGTCTGGTTATAAACATCACAGTCTGCAGGAACATTAAGAAGAATTAGAAGTGTTCCCTTTGAAGTAAATGGCTTTACGGTAGTTTGCCTGATTCAAACAGCTTGGCTAAACCTGATCAAAATCTCATTATAACTACTCATTATTTTAGTTAACAAAGATGCAGCCAACAGCTTTATTAAGGATACTAAAAACTCTTTTAGGATTTCTGTTTGCCTTTTACTGCCACTGTTTGATATGCTAAAAACATTATACTTCAGAGCTGACATTCAGACTTTTCATAGAGCGTACAAGCATCTGACAGCAATTTAATAAATAATAACTGACAAATGTGACAACAATAAACTTCATATATGAACAATGAGTAAACTAAAATACTATTTTAGAAATATGCTGGAACTGAAAAACTGATTTTCTTAATTTGATGCTTGTGTATACATGATGAAATAAGCCTCAGTAAATAGTGAGACAAGACTATATCTGAGAATATCTGTCAGCTGATAGAGTACACTACAAACTCATAACTATTTTATACTTAAAATTTACATGCATTTTCTGAGGAAACTGAAAGTTTCTTTAGAATTTAGCAACAAAATCAGGGCAAGTGTCGTGGTTTAGGCCTGATTGACAGCCAACCACAACGCAGCACCTCTCTCTCCCTTCCCCTCCGGCAATGAGAAGGGACAGAGAGCCAGGCTTGGGGTTCAAGATAGGACTGGGATGGGGGAAAATCCCCCTTTCATGATCACGAGCAAAAGGCAGACTCGTTAGGGGAAGAAAAAAGAACATTTATTATAGACACTAACAACACATAACAGAGTAGGACAGTGAGAAGCATTGCCACATCTTGAGAACACCTTCCCCCCACCCCTCCCTTCTTCCCGGGCTCAGCTCTGCTCCCGATATCTCTACCTCCTCCCCCAGTGGCGCAGGGGCAGGGAATGGGGGGTGCAGTCAGTGCTGCCACTTCCTTCATCTTTGGTGAGTTGAGTGTCCTAAACTTGTTCCCCCTGCTCCATCGTGGTCCCCCTCTCACAGGAGACAGTCCTCCACAAACTTTCTCTGACTTGAATTCCTCCCATGGGCCGCAGCGTTCCCCACACTGCTCCGTCATGGGTCACTAACTTCCTCCGACTGGATTCTCTCCCACGGCTGCAGCCCTTCCCGAGCTGCTCCGGCGTGGGACTCCCCCGCATGCTGCAATCCTCCCAGCACTGAATTACAGCAGCGGGGCTACCTTTTTCCATGAGACCCCGGCCTTCTTCGGGCACAGAACCTTGATCAGCCAAGCAGGAACAACAGGCTGTAAATCAATGTCTGCTCCACCGTAGATCTTCATGGGTGGCGGGGGGGGGGGGGCGCCCTGCCGTCTCACCACAGGATACAGGGGGGTCTCTGCTCCGGCACTCCTCCCCCCTCCTTTCTTCCTCCGTTCCTCCACTGACCTTGGTGTTCATGCAGCTGCAGCAACTCCTCCTCACAAGTCCGACTGCCCGTCACCACGTCCCTTCTTAAATACGTTGTCGCAGAGGCGCAGCCGATTGGCTCAATTTCCCAAACAGAAGTGGAGCTGACGTGGAGCTGGGGGAGCTTCGAGAAGCTTCTCACAGGGGGCCGCCCCGATAGCCCCCTCCCCTGCCACCAAAAAACTCCACCACTCACTCAACCCAGGACAGCAAGAAAAATAATTCAGGTGTCCAATAAACACTAAAATTGTACCTAAATGCTTGGGTCATCATTATTCGACAGGCAACAACTCCTACTTTAAAACATGGTAGTTCTTCAAAAACAAGTAGCATTTCAAGGAGATACTGAATCATAGCCGATCATCCTATAATCCGAAGGCCACCAGAGTGTTCAAGCCAGTTCCAAGGATGTCCACAAAGGACATTCTTTCAGAAAAGGAAAAAAATTAGATGGTCCTAAAACAACTGTTTGAAGTGAAATTGTCCAAGAGTCCAGAGAATCATGAAATCCAGGAGAGTCATTATCACTTGGAACTCCAAGTTTATATCTTCTCTGAAAAATACTGACTTCATCAGTATCATTAATGCAGGCCAGATCCGAAGGTGAATAGTAAATACTTTCAATCCAATGTTGTAAAGATTAATGCTTATGATGAATTTTATATTGTGAATAAGAAACCCCTGGCGGGTTCAGAGGAACCACTGTCAATTAATAAGCATAAACAGATACACTCATCGTATAAACTTTCTTTTCTGAAATGAAAAGATGGGTTTTTTAAACAGTTGAAGTTTTTCAAAACATTTCTCATTCATATACTAGCCCAATTTACATAATGGGTTTTTAGGATTTTAAGATAGATTGCATTATGGAATAAGTATGTTGATGACTTTTAGCTGTCGTTCATCCTACCATAAAAGGGATCTGAATTTGATCATGTTTTTCATACAGCAGCATTCTACAATCTTGATTTACTTTCCTGTTTAAAAAACTATATTGTAAATACACACTAAAGGAATGGAGAAAGAGTGCGGTAGCGATGAACAAAGAAACTTTTCTGCTTTCCCACTTATTCAAAGGTGAATTCAATTCAGTTTCCCTGTGTTTCACCTATGATTACCTGAAAAATAGAGTCGTAGAATTAGATTCATATGTCTCACATCAAAACATACTTTCTTAACCCAAAGGGCAAGTATACTTTCTATGCAAAGAGAGTGAGTTAGAATTATCTCCTTCTGATCGCATAGACACGGTGTCTCTCATTTTAAGCACATACTTGGGAGAAGCTTTATGTAGAATATACTCAGCTTAGACAGTCATCATGTGGCAGCAATTAGATGCAAAAAAATAGTTTTCAGATAAGTCAGACATTCTTCCTCATCGTATCATATGGTAGGATTTGAATGCCTAGGTGTGATCTGCTTTTATCTTTCTCTTTTAATTCTTTATGACAGAGGTACGGAAAATTTTTCTGGATGATTCACAACTATTTTTCTCATAAGTCAAAAGCGTTGGAGAATTTTCTTAGCAAAGTGGTTGTAGTGGCCACACTATGGGACTTTTTGCCTTTTTAGCTTATTTATTACACTACTGAACAAATAAAAGTGAGATTTGTAGTTGAAACTTTTCTCCACCAGCATGATATGTTGCCTTTTCTATGGAAGTGTGCATTGGCCGTCCTGGTATAATAATTTCCACTGTCTCCCTGTGTTGTGGTTTAACCCCGCGTGACAGATAAGCACCATACTGCTCCTAGACCTAATCAAGCTACTATGAAGAAATTATAATTCCATCCTGGCCAAAACCAGTACACCCTTGTACTTCTTCACTTTGCATTCAGTGCACAAACAGCTATTTATTTTTAAACAGACAAAGACACAAATATGTATACATATTGACCCAAGCTGCATAGTTCATGTGGTATCCCATTCATACAAGACTGTTCCTTCCCTTTGGCTTCAAAGTTTATCCACCTGACAACTGGCTTATTGCTTCGTCAAAGACTGCAGTGGCACTGTTACATTCACTTTATTTAACAGAATGAACGTTTAGTAAATTGTATGGGTTAGGTACACATAAC